TTAGTTTATAATTTTTTTATATTTAAGATACGTTAAAAATAAATTGATTTCTATTTAATAGTCTAATTTTACATTTTCAAAACTAAAATTATAAAATGAAAAAATGAATAAAATTCACATTTCATAAATATTTAAAATAAAATCAATTCTTAAATTTTGTCATTCCAAACAGTCTTACAGAGATATTTTGACTTCAGAATAAGATTTGCAAGTCTTACTCTCTATCTTAATCAATAATTTCTGCTTATCTAACGGTTATAATTTAAGAAGTTATATTAATTAATTAATTATTAACTAAACTACAAATAACAATTGTTGATTTACAAGTCTTACTTTACAAATGACAATCGTCGATTTCCGTCCATCAATGATTAAAATGAGGAGTAACACTTAGAAGTCTTACTCTGGAGTAAGAAAAATCATATATATATATATATATATATATATATATATATATATATATATATATATATATATATATATATATATAGAGATCATTTAAGTCCAGAGTAAGATTTATAAATCTTACTCTTCATCCTAACCGTTGATTTCCTTCCATCCAACGGTTATAATTTAAGAAGTTTTATTAATTAATTAATTATTAATTACACTATAAATGATAACCATTGATTTCCGTCCATCAACGGCTGAGATGATAAGTAAGATTTCTGGAGTCAAAAGTACCCTCCCATATATATATATATATATATATATATATATATATATATATATATATATATACAAATTTTAAAAATAACAATTTAATTATGTTAATAAAAAATAGTTCAATCAAATGTCCTTTTTTATAACACAGAATGCAATTCAACTTAAATTGTTCAAAATTCCCGTGTTTATAAATGCTAATAAAATGGGGTTTTGCACCTCTGAAATGAGAAGTATACTTTAAATGAGAAAGTATTAAACAATAACCGTTATTTAAAAAATTAATAAAATAAATTTGAAGACCTCCGTGTAAATTGAAACGACCGCGAGTGATCATATGTACAAGTATTTATACACTTTCTTTAGTTTAATGACTTGTATCAGACTATATACAGAAAATAAATAGATACGATGCAGTCTTATGACCGATCATCATGCTTCTTGGGTAAATGCAGCAATAGCATCGAGTCCTCCAAGCTGAAGAGAACGTTAAGCCTTCCCTCAACTAAACCTCTTCTACAAAGATGACTCCAAGTTGTGACTCTGCAGCATTTCCTTGACATCGTACCGAGAACACTTGTGCTACTAGAAAATTACCCCCTCTTAAACACCAATATTAACACAGAGAGATATCAACTTTAGAATTTCAATACTTCTAAATGGAGCTTTCTAAATGAGGAAGTTCCCTGAACTACATAAACCTCACAAAAGGGCATTTAGATGAGGAAAGGACAAGCCTCACCCTACATTTCATACTCAGGCATCTGCAGGTTGCATATATTTACGACCTTCTGGCACATTTCTGGAGAAAGTTCCTTGAGAAGATCTGAGACAGCTAATTTGTGCTTCCTCTTTAGTTCGTCTAATTCCTGTCTTTGCTTAACAAACAAATCCTTCAGTTTTATTACCATGTTATTGACGTATTCTGTTTCAGACTCTTTCAAACTTCCAGATATTTCTTCCACAGAAGATTTTTCACTGGTTGCTTCTAAATACCCAGATGTGATACTTCTGTGACTGTAAGGGGAATTAGCAGTCCCATCAAATTCCTTCTCTGCACTACAATCACCAACACAGATCCGGTCATCAGGCACCAGCTCAACTGAAATAATACCATTTGCAGCCAAGCTTCCTTCCTTAGCATTCACATCCGCTTCATAAGACAAGTCTGAAGGACCAAGCCGAGATGGAGAGTTTCCACCAACTGCCTTCGGTGAGTCTGACCAGTACTTACGACCTGAAGGTAATATTTCTAATGCAAGATTGCCAGCAGAAGTGGTAGAATCATGTCCCACAGGAGAAGCCTCAAGCCTAGTTTCAGGGGTACAGCCACCTGTAACTGCTGAATCTCGACAAACACTATCTACAGGAGTTTCACCGGGATTCCAGTCAGGAATGTGATATCGAATTTCTGAATCAATCATCTCAGCAATAGTCGTAACATCTTGATCAGTAAGTTCCAACTCCTCAACCATTTCACTAGCAACAGAGATTGAAGTGTCTGCTCCAACATCAAAAGGAAAGTGGATATTGCGAATTTGACCTACACACAGCGAACATTAGAACCAATGAGAAAGCAAATAGACACTCACTTTCTTTGAATGAAATCAAAACAAATTGAGAGAGGGGACCTGAGGAGTCTGCAATTCGCAATTTTAAAAATATTGTATTAATATCTCTCCTTTGACCTTCCACTGTGAATTCCCTACTTGTCTCAACAATATTATCCTCAGCTCTTTTTCCAACGGCTTTATTATCACAACTATTTCCTGCATTTGATACATCAGATGTTGAACAAAAGAAGATCGACCATTTGGGAATTTAGATGCAAAGTGTATTTACCTGAATGATGGATTTCAGACCTGGAAGATCGACCTACGCTTTCACTATCATAGTCTGACTGAAGGAAGGGATCCATCAAGAGATCCTTTGCAGGCAACCGTTCAGACACATTAGCAATACACTTTTCTATAAATGCTCTGACTTCAAGATCTGCCACTTTTGCCAATGATGCTGGCTTTATTCCCTACCAGGAAAAGAAACAACAATAATAACCATGTCAGATTGAGAAATGCTTATCTTGAGATAACGACATTCTTTTTCTGCAAGCTTTACAACCTTAAAAGGATGTAATACAGCCACTTCTGAAGTCCACTTAAAAACTGTAGTCATATCTCAATCAATTTCATAAATAAGAAAAGCTAAAACCTAACATGATTCTTAATAAAGAAGATTTGTTAACCATTATGCCCCAGAAGCCAATTAAGTTCAACAGCAACCGGAGAAGAAGATAAAACACCAATTCAGATATTGTGGGATTTTTTATTTTTATTTTTAAGTTTGTTCTATGCAAAATTCACCCTCTTTATCTTTTCATCCACCCTCCCACACCATTTCTATGAAATTTCCATAACAATTAACATCTGCTCGGGTTCATGCAGTGTCCAATACAGTTATTAATTTGATTACTTAACATTTGACTAGCTGACAGGTGAAAACAAGCAACAAGGCAAAAGGGAACTATAATTTTGATTGTATAATTGACTAGTTCAAAATGATTCAAATCATGGAAATGTCACAATGTTACATCTTAGTTACAGTTGTACTAGCAGAAGTGGTTTTATTAAGTTGAAGTGTAAATAGATGTACTATTCAAAAGGTTTGGGAAACATCACAGTCTCCGAGAATTGACAGAGCTTTCAGAGCGCAATGAATACTATTTCCATCACTATTGAGATGGGAATGAATAATTCCAAGACCAGTGTTGCATGATAAGTAAAATAGTCCTCCCAAAATTCCGAAAACAAAACACTTACAGATGTCACTTTCTTGTATATTTGAGCAGCATTGGCACATTCAACATATGGGTACTCAACAGTTACCAACTCTAGCAAGCACATGCCAAAAGCATAGATGTCAACAAGCTCATTGTATTCCTCTTCATAAAGTTCTGGGGCCATGAACTCTGGGGTACCTAGGCTCATGATGAGAATTACAGATGCCTTCAGTAACAAGATTCCAACACTAGTTCGCATGAGAAAAGGATAATATACAGGTAATGTTACCAATGACACTGTGTGCTGAATTGGCCTGTTGAAGGATGGCTGCCAATCCTAAATCACCAATTTTCACCTCCCCTTGATTCCCATTGACAAAAATGTTGTCACACTTAAGGTCTCGATGAATAACTGGTGGATTATGACTGTGAAGATACAAAAGGCCCTCCAAAATCTGCCTAGACCATTTCTTCAAAGCTCTCAAATCAACATGCTTATGTTTCTTCCGGTATCTAAATTAAGAAAGTCAAACTCAAACACAAAAGCTCACGAAAATCAGAAACAAAACAGAAACATGATCCAAAGAGACTCACTGGCGTAATGTTCCCGAGGTGAAAATCTCAGTAATGAAGTTGATGTTCTCATTCTTGGTGTCAACCCATGAATTGTAAAATTTAATTATATTCTTATGTTTCAAAGTCTTGAGCAAATGAACTTCCGAATAAAGCCGCTCCAAATCTTCAGAATTGCGCAATAGATCAGCCACCTTAACCTGATTCCAAGCCACTTCAATACCTTCCAACTCATCAAACGCTCGATATCTACATTTCCATAATACTGTAAAGGACAAACAAATTATCCTCCCAAGTGAAACCATGTTATATATACAGCTGCCTCCATTAACACATACAGCTATTGATTGAGCATAGAAAAATGCAGAAAAAAAAAGGATACACTTTCTTGAAAGCCCCCTTTCCTAAAACTTCCTTGTACTGTGGAATCCAGCAAACCAAATCACAAACAAGTAAAACAGAACACATCAGATTTATAATACGGATCAGATAGAGCGAACCATTTCACAAGAGATTAATAAAAAAAATAAAAAAATGAGCTAAATAAAACGATATAACAGAATGCATGAAGGATCGGCATACAGCATGAAATTAACGATGATAGAAAGAGAATCGAAACCGACCCGACCATATCGACCGGTAGGATCAATCTCGACGAACTCGGTATCAGAATTGTCGAGGTCTTGCTCGGGGGAATCCGGCGGCATTGCTGGAAACCCTAGCTGGCTAGAAGGAAGTGATTGATTGATGAAAATTAGATTAGGAATAGGAAGAGAAGAACATGAAAGAAGAGAATGAGAAAGAGAGAAGGAGAAAACAGAACCTATTGGTATTCGAATCTGGAACAACACAATGGTGCGCCACCACCACCGAGCTCCTTCCCTCGCCGGGTCAAATCGTTTCCATTGCTGTGCCCGAAAAAACGCTCCCTTTTCTTGTCGCTTTGTTTTTAATCTCTTCTGTTCTCTTTTGCGGTGCAGAAAGTAGGTGCCACGCTGCGTAACTTGACATTATTTTTTGTCCTAGTCAATATGTTTTATCTTTTAAGTTTTAACTTCCAAAGTTAAGTTTCCTCGAATTTAATAACACAATTTATTTAATTGGGTTAAATTTGTAATTTACACTTGGCTTTATTACGTCAGTTTTTGACTAATGACTGAGTCAATTATATATTTTCATAATAACGCCATTCCGTCCAACCATGAGACAAGAGTGTGTAGCATGTGGTTCAGTTTTATGCAGATCCTTAAGATTTTTATGTGGTGTGGCAGCACAGGTTTGTTTGGGTGCAAAGTGATAGAAAAATTGAAAACGAAACTTTAAAATCAAAGTATTTTTTTCATGGATTCTCAAAACTGACCTGTCAAGTTTCTTTATTGGTAATACTTTTTTATTTTGCACGAGAAAAAATATTATTTCTTATATTTACATTTTTCAAATAGTTCCTATAAGATTTTTTTTCTCTTTCCTTCAACTCTTTTATTTCTTTTAATTATTGTTTGAGTAGTAGATAATGTTTTTCTTATGCAACATAAAAAAAAAAGTATAACCCTTCTTTATTATTCAGTTATGGCCTGATATGGATGCATTTATTCATTCAAACACGTTTTTATCAGAGCGCCAACCATTATAATGAACAAGCAGCTCCCACTATTCAAAGCAGCTGTCTAAGAGGAGAAGGGGGAAATTGGTAAAGAATAATATTGAATGGGAGGTGGAATATGCTGGATTTTCCTCCGTTAGACATTGGGTCAGCATTAACCATATATTATACCCCAAATGACCTGAGCCAGCACCGAAAAGGAGGCTGATTCAATTGAATTGAAACTTCAATCTTCATTAAACAATCAAGACAAAGTCAAATGCATCAATTATGCAATTTATTTGGAGTCGAACTAACGTGATGTGGTATTGATCAATATAAAGTGAGAAGTGGTTGTAATTTGCACAGCTCACCATTAACTATTAAAAAGTTGATTTCACATAATAACCGCGGCTTTCTATTAATGTCTTGATTTTACATAACTCTTAAGTTATATATTTTAAAGATTTTATTAATCTTATTTTAAAGAAGATAAGTTATCTCATGTCATAAAAATAAATTTATGGACTCTATCATCTGATAAAAAAAGTGACATAATTATCAAAAAAATATATAAGAGGAAAAATTTTGATACGAGAAAAGGAAGAGAAGTCAGATTGAGAAGTGGCCCAACATAGTTTAAGGACTATGTCCAAATGTCCAATAAGCCCAGTGTCTTTTGTATATGTTATGGGTAGTTAAAAGTGTAAACAAGTGGGACTATACGGTAGTTAGTGAGGGTATTGGGTTAAGTGCCAACGTGGCATGTAAAACAGGTATTAAAGGTATTAAAGGAACTGATTGGTGTATGGAATGATTCATTGAATTTTAGAAATAACATAGGACTTGTGCTGACACACCTCGGCAAAATGGAAAAACATAAAAGATAAATAGGACCACCCTAAATAAAGTTAGGTCCATGATGACAAAGTCTAGTTTATGAAAGGTTTTTTGGGCATAAAGAGTCTCAACTAGTACTCCGGTTGTTAACATACGTGATATTCAGCGTACACAGCGGAAGACTTATTTTTTTAAATATGGAATTGTCTTATAAAAACATGAATTAACTTTGTCCAAAACGTTTTTTAAAAACATTTCCAAAAGCGTTCACATAAGATATTGCATAAGCGTAAATTCTAAAACATACATCTACTAAATAATCCCATTAGCCATTAGTAGTGGTATAACACCTCGCATTTCTAAATCATATATTAATATATTAAATGAGGATTAAAGGGAAGGATTAGTGAAAATCCTCGAAATTAGGTTAAAATACAAAGAAAGGGTAAAACAGGAATTAGCCAAACACACAACCCTAGGAAGGTAAAATTGAGTAAGAGGTCTCAGATGATAAAATAACCCTGGAAATGGATTTAGAACGAAAAATTGAATGGTTAGACAAGTTTTAGAAAATTCAGTGAATAGTGTTTTTACCGGGTAAAAATATTGCGGTACAGTTGCACCGTAAAATGAGTCGATTGAGTTTTGAGCTCTCTAGGTTATGAATACAAGTTATAAATGGTGTATAGGATTAGGAAATATGATTTATGATGAAAATTGACGGAAATTAGTAAGTTTGGGGAAGCGTGCCTACGACGCGCGTAACAGCTTAAAACTGCAGTTTCTTCAAACGACCGAAAAACTCAAGATTCATCTGGTCAAGAGTAATTAAAGGACAATGGTTAATGTTAAAGATTATAGTTTCTAAATAGGTTATGAAATTATGGACGTTTAATGGAATAGGTGAAAAATTCGAATTAGTTTGAAATCGCGTGAGGTGGTGGTGGGGCCCACCTCACTTAAGTCACTTAAACACACATGTTCATTACTATTCATCATCACTCTCAACACTCTTTCTCTCTCTCAAAACCGTGAGACACCAAGAAAAAAAGGGGGAAAGCTTGGTTTGAATCTTGATCATCTAGCCACCGATTTCATCGAAGTTTGTCATCAAACTTCAAGAAAACGACGATCCGAACTCAACCATACCATCCATTAGCCTTGAAACCCTATCATTTGTGAGAAAATAGGAGAAATCAGCCACGAAAATTTAGAGGATTTGTGTGATTTTGGAGTTGTTTGCTCAAGCCATTGCTTGGAGATCAATTGGAGGAGTCTTGTGACTTGATTGTGGGTAAGTTTCAACACCTTTCATGGATTGATTTGATGATTTAATTTCATGAAAACCTAGGGCTTGTATGCTTGATTTATGGAGTTAGAGAGCTCAATTGAAAAATGTGTATTAGATAAATATGTCTTAGAATGATGTGTTAGAGCTATAAATGCAATAAAAATTATTGAGAAAATGTGCTCATAACTTAGTAAAATTTGGATGAAATATCATGACTTTGTGTTGGAGATTGTTGTTAGGATTGTGTAATTGGATTGTTGTATGGTTGTAGGAGTTAATAATTGAATTGGATTGAAAATCCCTTGGTATATGCTTATGTGCATTTCGGCCTTGTGAGGGAAAATGAGGATTGGATGTTGTAAAAATTAATTGTTTGATGTGTTGTGTTGTTAAATGGCAATTAGAAGGGTTGTGTGATGGTTGGATGCTTTGAAAATCAAAGAAAAAATGGTGGGATTATGTAGAAATGAAAATTGTGCCTAGAGCGAATTAATTGGCAAAACGATGTTTGGATGATGTAGGATGCAAATTGGCACCTAAAATGGCATTGTAGTAGCCTTAGCATGCTTAAGAAAAATAAAAATAAAATGAAAGAAAATATTTTGTGTTTTTACACTATAAAGGTCGAACCTCACTAGTGGGGAGAGGAGGTTTTGATATTTTTGTTCTTTGGTGGATTTGCCTGTATTAATGATCCGTGTATGATCAATGTAGGTTGTCGTACGCGGATTTGAACCCTGAACCGTGAGCTCGGTGGGTTTCCCTTGGTCCCGGACCAAAGGGATTGTGGTGAGTATTTTAAATCATGCATTTATGCTTGAGAATTGGCATGTAATTGGTGAATGGAAATTGATTGGGAATGTCCTCTGTGTAGGCATTCTGGTTGTGTACCTAGCTCGGAAAATATATTGCAGTGGAGTTGCAAGAGAGGATTGTACTGGGGTTTGATCCCCTTGTGTGTTCCACCATGCCGTTGAGGGTAATGGTAGGAAGTGTATGTAAATAATATAGGATAACATGTTCATGCATATTGTATGTGTATTGATACATAGGATGTACCATGTCTCTGGCCAGTAGACGGTTTGCCTTCGGGCGTTACGGACTTCCACTGGATAGGTCTCCGTGAGGGAGTTCCAATTGACCTGGGGTCGTGGTGTGTGATCCGGATAGGAGCACACTAGGAAGTCTCGGGTGGATATGGATGGAGGGTGCCTTGGTTTGATGTTCTGGGAACACGCCTTGGTTTGAAACCCGTAGGCTTATATGCCGAGCCAATAGGCTGGACCTTGCGTGGTTTTGGCATTAACCATTCCAGCTTCGTCGTATTTTGTATCCCTATGCTCCCCTATTTCTCTAAATCCATTGCTTTATCCCGTTTTCGGATGTTATGCTATGTTATTTATATGCATCGAAGTGAGCCATTGAGCGGAGTATTCTCCAGAACCTCTGGGTTACTGAGATATATTCGTATATCTTACCCCGCTTTGAGGGCTTTATTTCAGGAGGTAGCAGTGGAGTTGGAGCGGCGGGCAAGAAGCCCGTATGATATTTTGGACGTAGGACTACCTATTTTGCATTTTGTTGGCCATTGTGCCTAGGCTACACTTAGGTCATGAACACTGCATATGATTAGGAGATGATTATGATTTTGTTCATGATGTATTTTGTCTAAGTTTAGTCTTGATTTATCATGTTTATTTTGGAGTATTTATTATGTTTTACTTGAAGGTTATGGTTTGTAAATTGTAATATGTCATTTGGAGGATTTGTAATTTGTACATGAAGACTTGATGTAATATGGAAGTATGTAATATGATGAAAGGGCAATAGGCCTATTCTAGGATTGATTTATGTTTTATGTTGCAAGAAGCATGAAAACGAATATTGTGATTGAAATTGATTAAATTGAGGAAGTAAGCATGAAATGTATACTGATTAATTTGGATATAAACTGTGTGGGTTGTCAGAGCACCAAGACATTGCTTGTCCTTGTGTGCCACCCAATGATTATTAGGTACCCATTTGAGGCTAGAGATCACTTTTGCAAATTGGAGATTTATTGGAAAAACAAAGGAAACTCTGGCGAATTTTCTAGAAATTGGCAAAATTTACGCAAACTTTGGGAGAACATATCTCCTTCCACAGAGGTCTGATAGGGACGTTCCATACACCGTTTTGAAGCTTGAGATGTCCTCTACATTGTGGTAAATTTTGGGATTTTTCTGGGTTGGGCGTCAGCCTGTAGGAGGCAGAGAACATTGACTACCCTGTTGGC